ATCGCGAGCGCCGGCGCCCCCCGAGGGAGGCGGCGGGCCGGAGCCCGGGCCGTTGGCGGCCACCGGAGGAGGCTGGCCCGGCGCTGGCGGCGGAGCAGCGGCGGCCTCGGCGCTGCCGGCCGCGCCGCCGGGCTCGGCCAGGTCCAGAAAGGCCTGGCGCAGCAAGGCCGGGCTGTCCCCCAGCGCGCAACCGAGCGCCGAGGGCGGCTGCGGCGGGGGCTGCAGATAGGTGGGCACGGGCAGCCCGCCGGGGGTCCGAGGTGGCCAGAACATGCAGAAGGGCGGATAGAAGGCGTCCTTGCGGCCCGCGGGCCAGAAGAGGCCGGACAAACCGGCCTTGGGTGCCGTGCCCGCGCCCCCCGCGCCCGCGGTGCCCAGGGCTTCAGCCGCGGCGCCCACGTCCTCCTTCTTGTGGCACAGGCCGAAGGCGGCGGCTGCGGCGGGGAAGGTGTATGGGTGCGGGAAGAGGCCCCCGCAGCCTGGGAACTTCTGCAGCACGCCCCCGAACGAGCCCTTGCTGGGCACCGGGATGACCGGGTAGCTGCGCGGGCCTTTGGTGCCGCCCGCTGCGCCCGTGCCCGCCCCGGCGCCAACGCCGACGCCGGGTACACAGCCGCCCGCGCCGCCGCCCCCGCCCGCCCCGGCTCCGCCTGAGGCCGCGGCCACCGAGAGGCTGGCGGCCGCCGCTGCCGAGAGGCTGGCGGCTGCCACGACGGCCGCCTCCTGCAGGGAGTCGTCGTCGTCCTCGAAGCGCGGCCGCTTGTGGTGGGCGTGCGGCGCGCCCGCTAGTTCGGCCAGGGGAGGCGGCGGGGGTGGCGGCGGTGGCGGGGGCGCACCCAGCAGGTGCGGGCCCAGGAGGCCCCCGCCTCCAGCCACCGCCGCCGCTGCGGCCACCGCGGCCGCCTTTACGGAGCTGAGTGGGTGGCAGGCGGGGTGCGCCCCGGGCTGAGGCAGAGCGCGCTTGCGGCTGCCACCGTTGAACATGGCCTTCACGTCCTCCCAGGCGAACACGAGCTCGTCCTGGGGGCTCTTGTCGGTGAGCTTGAGGTGGCGGCGCCACGAGTTGAAGTTGGCGGCGTCAGGCTGCGTGTACTTGGCGTCGGGCGTGCGGTGCGAGTGGAAGATGAACTTGTTGGGCGAGAAGTACATGTTGCAGTAGCTGCACTTGATGCACTTGGCGCGCGAGCTGTTGTAACGCGCTGGGATGAAGCTGCCGCGGCAGCCCCAGGCGCACTCATGTGACACGTCGAAGGCGAAGTTGTCGGGCAGTTTGGGCGGTCGGTTTTCACCCAGGAACGATTTGCACAGCCGCTCGGCCTCGCGCTTCGTGATCATGCCGCAGCGGCGTGACGAGATGGGCATGGCTCCCGCGCGCCGCAGGATCTCCAGCTGCACGGGCGTGCACTGGACGCACGTGATGCCCAGTGCCACGCGGCGGTTGTGGATCTCGTTATAGCTGAAGTTCTTGAGCAGCGTGTTCGAGATCTGCGCCAGGCACAGGCGCTCCTGCCCGTCGATCACCAGGGACACGATGGGAATGCCATAAAGGATCACCTGGCCCACCTGGTTGGGCTTGAGGTTGGCGTGGCCGGGACGGGGCTGGCTCAGCGCGTCCGGCTGGAAGGCGCTCGAGGGCGACGCCAGAAGGATGTCATTGGGCCCCGGCAGCGGACTGGAAGCCATCTCCAATGCTGCGCAACCCCCAGCGGAGCCCTTCTCCGGCTGTGCCTTGGAGACTGCAAGGAAAAGAAGAGAAAGTTGACTTGCACCTGGCACTGGGATGGGGATGGGGATGGAGAGGAATGAAGGGTGTGGGAAGGTCGCTAACTGAAGAATTAGAAGTAGCTTCTTTGCTTTGACTAAGACCTGGGTATTACCAGGCCAAGTGGCCAAGTTTCCCAAGGAAGTCACAATTTCCTTCAAGGGCACCCTCTGGAAGTAGGGCAGTTTGGAAGTACTTTCATCCCAATAGCCAAAGTAAATCACAAAATAAACTCTGTAAAGGCTGTTCCTCACCGTCCCAGGATCCTGCCCCGGATTTATGGAATTCGCTGGAATAAAATGGAGTGCTCACCAAAAATGAGAAAGTATGACAACTGTGACTAATTGAGATCACAGAAATTAGAGAAAATGGGGGCTTGGCCATTGAACCCCAAGTGGAAAAAGACAATTTACATTTACATGGAAATAGGTTGATAATTTTTAATAAACCTAAACCAAATCATTTAAAAAGTGATTTTTGTGGCATCTTTGGTGTCCTTAGAGGGAATTTCACTAATACTGGAAGCACAACTCATCACAACAAAACGAAACTCCTCTCACTCATCCTTACCAAGAGATACTTTGTCACTGTAATTGTAATTATTCTTTGGAAAGGGGAAAATGCATGTAAAGCCATATACACCAAAACAGATGGTTTCTATTTCAACTTTTAAAAAAAAAATACGCTTGCTGAGCAGAGTAGTTGTAGCCTCATATGGGTAACACAAAAAGGTGAAGTTTACGACTTGTAGATGTTTAAAGATTTTTTTCTTGTCATTTCTAGAGCAGTGAGCAAATACAAACTAGTGTGCTCTCAATTCAGGAGTGGCACTAAGAAATGACTAATTTCTGAGGATCTTTATCGAGGCACCGTAAAAGATAAGTTTGGTTTGATGCGAACAACCGTGGGTGCCATTTTCTCCCTATCTGGGCGATATCTCATATTTCTGTCCCTATGGGGGGAGATGGCCCACAGCATCAACAATTGACAGTAGTCATGGTACTCTGAGGGGGCATTGCAGGACTGAAGGACGAATCCGGGTGCTGAGTCTAGAATGAAATTCTTAATTTCTCATCTCTGGGACGCCACCACGGTGGGGGGAAGACATGTACTACATTGGAAATACAGAAAATGCAAACACAAACTGTTGTGACAACGCTGTTACATGGAACTCTCCCTTTCAGTAACTACCAGTCCAGGGCAAAGACTACTCTTTGCCCTGGAAAATCATCCACGGCCAGAGCAAGGCCGGTGACTCCTCTCCGACAAGTTCACTGGCCTTTGGCCTTTGTTATTATAGCAATTTCAGCGGATAGAATATCCTACCCCCTCACCCAAATGGCCATGCGTGGTGGAGATCTACCGCCCTTTTGCCCTGCTGCCCTCTGGATCTTCAGCTCTGGTTACTTTCCATGGCCTCCAGGAAAGTGGAACCAACACTGGCAGCCAAATCGGAGGAGAGGTTGGCCTAGGATGGATCAGCGAGGGTGGGGCATGGCCGTGCCAGGCACATTGATATCTGGGACTGATATTGGCTTTGCCAGATGCTACTCCAATGTTAATTTCCCTCCCCAACGAGATCCTCCTCGTTCTTCAAGTAAGAACCTGGGATAATCTAAACTCGCGCTCCCCAGCAAGGCACGAAGTGGGCCGAGGAGCTGCTGCCATAGACCCGGTTGAAGTGTCTCCTGCGTGCGTGCGCTCCACTGTCCTTCCAAATCCTCCAGAAAACTCCCATCAGAGCAGAGCGACAAAACAGTAAAGCTTAGGCTAGGATTTGAGAGAAGAGACTTAATTACTAAAAGTTAGTTGGACTGAGAAAGGAAACAGGCGAACTTTCTCATCCAGCTCCTGAGCCAACCACCCCTCAACTTCATGCAGCCCCGAAGCCGACCGCTGCCTCTACAGCCGGTACAGGTGGAGAGTCTGGACCAGCGGACCGCCTCCAAGTCGGGCCAGCCGCCCCCAGCGGTACCTGGGAAACTCTCGGTGCCTTCAGGCGCGTGGCTGCCAGCCCATCTTCCGAGGGCGCTCGGAGACGAAGCATCCAAGCGGGTCCTCGAATCCAGCGGGCAGGATTCCGGCGGGCTCCGAGCGAAGATCCCGGCGCGCGTGGCAGCTAATGGCGCTCAGACCCCGGGCTGGGGAGAAGGACCGCCTTGGGTTGTGGCGCGAAGACCCCCGGATTCCAGAAAGTGTGGGCGCTCGGAACCCCGCGGCAGGCGAGCCCCAAGTGGAGCGCAGTCTGACGGCGCCTTTCTCTGTCTCTGAACTCGTGTCGGACCGAGGGGACGCCACCCAGCGGGCAGGGTGACGTCACCGTCTCCCTGACACTCCACATTAAAGGGCTGGCATGTTACAGGGAGGGAGGGGGAGAACAAGAGCGAGTGCGAGTGCGAGGAGCGGAGAGATCTGTTCTCCGCAACCACGGAAGCTACCCTCCAACCTGTCCGTCACTAACAACCTCCAGTCCCGGAGTGAGCCACAGAAGTGATTGGGAGGCGGTGATGGGAAGAGGTCCGCTCGACCAGCGACTCAGGGACCAGGCTCCTGCAGCCCCTGGATTCTAGAAGAACTCCTCCGCAGAAACAGTGGGAGAAGAAAGAACCGGTTGTGTCCCCTGGCCTTCCTGGAATGACCCGGCAGGTTTACCATGAAAACCTGCAGCTTTGCTGAGTCTCTGAAGATGTAGGATTCACAGGCAACACGTCATCTAAAACGCAGCGAAATGAAAGGGGAGAGTTTCCACATTGAATGCCCAAGCTCAAAACCTGGAAAGAGTGTGAAGTGCCCCCCCCCCCCACACATTTGCTTTTTAGGACGAGAATTGGCTTCCGGCTTCTCTGCTTTCGAATGTGTGGGTGAGGACCGCGATATACACCTATACATACATCTACACACTCCATTTGACGTAGAAAACTGCGTGCCAGGTCACCACAACACAATGAAAAGCGGGGGAGGGTGGGTAACAGAAGCAGTGTGTTCCTCAGTCCTTATCCTGACCAGGCCTTAAGCAAGTTGCAATCCCTTCCCTTCAGAAAAAAAAAAAAGTTCCAGGAGACCATGTAGCAGGGTGGGGAGGGGTACAAAAGCAGGATGAGGGAAAGCCATCCCCGGTGATTCACCCAAAGCAAGGCACACTTTAGGATATTAATGACGTGTCATCTCTGCATTGACCAGCTATTAACATCCCAAATGACCACTCTTTACTTGTTCACAAAGAAAAACAGCTGTTTGCACAGGCTTTGAGTTGACTCATTACTTTGTGGGAATGCTGGAACCACATCCAACCAGCGAGAAGGCTGACTAATCTCTGAGAGTGTCGAAGAGCAAAGCACTGTAAACTATGGGAGTGAGACTAGGAAGTCTTAATACTTCATCACAGGTTCATAAAAATGGAGAATAGGAAATTCAACTATAACGTGGGAGGTTTATTGCTCAGGAGTCGTGTTTGTTTTAAGTTAATATCCCGAAAGCAATTTCACAGCAGTGGAAATGGTAGGGTTGTTTGAGCGTAAGTTTCAAAAGCAGGTGAAATATTTCCCATCAATCTCCTAGATTCTGAAGAGGTGGATGGTGTGAATTAGGCGCTGTCCTAAGGGGTTGGGATCATCCTGACACTCCTTCCTCATCACTTCTGGAAGCTCCCAGCCTAAGAAGGAAACTTCTCATTTGCTGCCATCCCATTCCAGCCCATCCCCCATTCCCTCAGAGTGTCACTCACAAAAGAACATCCTGCACAAATCCCTTGCCTGAAAAGGCTGCAGGAATGGCAGGCACTCTTATTGTTCCAGGACCAAGTCTGGGGCTTCTCCACTCCCCTCCCCTGCCTGTTCCCTGGGGTCAGAGGCTCGTGCCAAACAAGGCTATGGTTGAATTCCTGAATGCCTAGACTGTTGGAAAGCACAGTTAAACTGCCTGCAAAGAAAACCTGGAGGTGGAGAGAAACTGAAGTTCCCATGACTAATGTACTCCAGGGAGGATCTTGGTCACCATCAGGGAGGAAGAATGCATGCTATTAGCTTTTTTTCTTTTTGTTGTATCTTTACCCTCAAGCCCACCTTTCCCATCCAGATCATATTTATTCACAAGTGTCTTTACATCTTTCTTTGAAAAAATAAACTGACAACTGTATGTCTTCCCATCTGAGAATCTGCCTCTTGGGAGGGGTGAAGGTATGGGGGAGCGGCACCTGTAGTTACCTCTTTGCTGGAATCCTTAAGCAAAAACATTTGCATGCAACTCTGGGGGCTTGCTGTACACAAGCTTGCAACTTAATTTTAAAACAAATTGTACCGAATGGAGAGAGAAATAAATGGTTCAATTCTTTCACCCAAATAATTCTAAAAATTGCACAGCATTTTCTTTCTCCCAAGGAGTGTGGGTGCCTGTTTGAAAGGTCAAGCCAATTGTATTTTTGGAAGGTGAAAGAGGAGAACAGTTGTTCAGGGCAGACTACAGTTCCTGGAGGATCTCCGATTTCCATGCCAGCCAGCGGGATTGCTGCCCACTTGCAAGGTTAGGGTCTTTGAACAGCTTTCTGCCACCAGCCATTTATTTCTCCCACCCTTTGATTCTCACTCTGGCCAAATGTCCTACTGATCTGTCACGTTGTTGTCAGTCCCTGTTCTGGTTCCTGGGCTCACGACAGGTACAGGGAGGAGCCTGCGGTGGCAGCAGGAGGCTGACGGGGGCAGGTGCGGGGGTCGGCTGGTGAATGCTTTCCTATTCGAGTTGATGAGCATTTTACACGCCAGGACTTTCCTCAGCCGGCTAATTGATTCAAATTGTTTTATTGGTTAAACTGGTGTCACCCGTTTGCATGATCTATCACTGCTCGGAGAAGAGCATTTCCACTCGTATTTCCGTTCCAGGAGGCTGCGGTTCACCTAGGCTAAGGACAGGTAAAGGAACCCAGACGCCGGACCCAAAGGAAAACCACAAACCGAGCTGGCCCCTTCGGAACTGGAGCGGAGACGCCTCTTTTGCAAGTGCGAGCGGCGGGCGCGCCGTGCGCCGCAGCACGGAGAGAGGTTCTCAGCTGGGGCTAGTAACAGTTGGTGGAAGCGAACCCTGGCCCTGGCCCAGCCTCCTCTCCTTTGGAAGCATCTGTTTCCGATCCGGGGGGAGAAATCTGCGGGGTAGCCGACCCCGGCTGAAGCCAAAACGGTGGGAGCTGTCCGCGGTGCTGACACGGTGTTGCGCTTCCAGGCATAATAGATATTAAGGCTTACAAAGCCCTCCGGGAAGAACCCTTTCCTGCGGCTGGTAGCTGTCAGAGCCCTGGATTTGGCTCCCGGCTGGCGCACCGCCTGCTAGGCTAAGAGGCAGGCATGGGTGACATAGAGCCACACCCCTTGCTTCTCCCACATTTTTTCATCTCTAAGGACTGACACATCATCTTCCTTCAATCCACCACTTCCTTATGTTGACAGCAAAGAAGATAAAACCCTTAATATAAATGCAATCAGAAACGCCAGATATCCCCTCTCCTCCCACTCTTATCCTGGGTGTTGAGGAACCTGTGACAGTAACAGATAAGAGAAACAGCCCTTCTCTTTCCTTTTCCATTCTCAGCTCTCTGGTAGAAATGTGACTGTTGGCATTTGATATTTCTGCATCAGATACAGCAAAGCATGCTGTCCCTGTTTGTTCCAGGTCCACACAAGTAGACTTTCACAGACAGAAAGAAATGGTAAGACTGGCAAAACCAAAGAGCGTAAGAATTCTGGTATGCCAGAAAATGCAGGGATTCAGTTAGATGAACCTGGGTGCAAATGACTCCTCCTCAATCACTTGATAGCCATAGAACCCTGCCCAAACACCTCACCTGCTCAAGCCCAGCGTCACCTGCTCAAGCCCAGTGTCACCTGCTCAAGCCCAGCATTTGTAAAATGAAGAGGTTGCTAGATCATTCCCAGGGATGCAGTGAGAATTCAGTAAGACCATGCATGTAAAGTGGTGGGCACCCAGTAGTTGTTCACTAAATGATGGCTTTAAAAACACCTCCTTTGGAGAACAAGGACAACAACTAATTGTGTTCATGTTATAAGCTCGTTATGTTAGAAGTGTTCAATAGTTCCAGAGTAGAAGATAGAAAAGGCATTTTAGCTTAGTGGGAAGCAAAACGGTGTGAGCTCCCTGGAAGAACACTGGCCTTTTCATGAAAACTTTATTCTTCTTTTAACTACTCTGCTGCCTATTTTTATGAGGTAGCCAGACCCCTCCAGCCCCCAGGAAGTGTTTGTTGAATCAATTTTAAGGAAGTTGATAATAAAAATATTAGCAATGATAATGATTGCTGAGAGCCTTTAGTTTTTATATTCTACTCACAAAAGCTTTTCACAGCCAAGAGAAAGTTAGCTCAAATGCCTTGATTTTCACTCCATTGGACATGCTAGAGCTACATGAAGCAAAGGAAAGGCCAGGAACAGAGCAAGGACTCATTCACAGTGGGAGTCACAGGAAAAATGAGAAAAGCCTCTGAGCATGCTGGGACTGACTCCATTTCCGAGTCTTCTCCAAGATAGTGTCTATAAACAAGCACCTCTTTCCCAGAGTCATGGAAGCCTGAGAGAAGTATAATGAAAATGCAGACTTAATCACCTAATCCAAAATCAGGGAGCAGAAGGAAGACATATTTTGCAGAAATGGTCTCCCTGTCCTAGTGATCCATAAGACCCATAATCATGATCTAATGTCTAGAGATTAGTGAGTCTTTTTTGTATTCCAAACACTTTGGTAAGAAATAGACTTGGAGGAGGAATCAAGATTTAATTTCAATTAATAAGAAGAAATCATTTTTCACAAGAAAACTCACGTTTTCTTTTCCCACCAGTTCACCTAGATCAGGAATTCCTTAAAACTTTTTCTAATTGGACTCCTTTTTTAATAACACAGATTTCACACTTCATCTAAGTGCTTAAAACCCCAAAACACATCCAGGCACACTTATGTATATATAGTTTACATGAAATAATAAAACTCAGATTGGAACACAGACTTGGCATATTGGGTGATCGCTTAGCTAATATTAATTGTCCAAGACAAAATTTAAAATAAAATAGGCACATAAAATACTGGAGGACACATGGGTACACTTGCTAATATACATTAAAAAATAGAGGCTCAAGGAAGAAACCCTCTAGTCTCTCCTCTTTCCCTTTTTTCTCTCTCTGCCTCTCTGCATGCATACACATATGTAACCACCCCCTTCACTCCCCACATCCCCACATTGGGAAGGAGGGGGTCCTTTGAAATGGA